AACTGAGTATGTATTTTACAATCAACCAGAAAGTGAAATTATTACATTAGAAGGAAATAAACTAAAACAGGGTTTTTTAAACTGTCGGTCCTGACCCTTCAATAGGTTGAGAGATAACTAAAATAGGTCACAACAAAAAAGAAAGAAAAAAAGTGAAAAAGCAAAGTGTAGAATATAAACAACTCTAAATGATGCACTCATAAATCATCACTAGTTTTTCACTGAGGTAAGCTTGTATTATATTTTATTTTTTTAAATATAATTATATATATATATATATATATAGTCAGTTCTCATTGGATTTATGCATCGTGTTTGTCGAACTCATTGCAGACTGACTGACAGAATTTCCTTTAAATTTGTTTTTCTAAAAGTAATAATTTTATATTCATCCAAATAGATAATATAAATAGATACATGTAATTCCAATATGTGTGGTCATAAGAAATATAAATTGTCAATTCGAAATAAATGAACCTAGTAAACAGAGTTTGTCTTTGATTTATTACACGTATGTATAATGGGTCACAATGCAAAATGTGGCTCTTGCTGTGGGTTGTGATAAAAAAAAGTTTAAAACACTGAGCTAAAGCAAGTGGAAGACTTTAAATATTTTGGTACTTGGATTCAGTCAAGTGAAAAGGACATGGAGATCAGAATCGGGCAAATTTGAGGTGTACAAAACAAAATGGAAAGTGTATAGAAGTTAAATCTTCTAAACCATCTGAAAATAAATTTCTTTTAAGCTATATTATGAAAAAACACAAAAGAAACAAGGAGCTTTTTGGAAAATAGCAAAAAGATGATGGAATCACTATGGATTAGAAAGAAGACTGTGATTTATTGAACTCATTTGAAAACAGAAAGAATAGATGTTAATTAAATTGCTCTTGTGAGACATTACATGTGGAAAACAGAAAAGAGTCTGGCCAACTAAATCATCAGTTAAGAAATGATATTGGTTTGACAAGTGAAAATGTGGCATTCTATACTTCTGACCAACTCTTAGTATGACTGAGGACCAGAATTGGAGGCCTATTTCACATCTCATTGTTCAACTAAGAGCAAGATATTTTAGTTTCAGTTTGTATTTGCAGTAGTTCACTGCTGTAGTTGGCTTTAGAAATGTTTGCTTTTTACATTAGGAATAACTTTAGATTATGTAACTGAAGTAAATATTAAATTTATCCATTTCCTTCTGACTTGCTATATTATTTTATGTTTATTGCAAAAATAAACTTTTGTCTGAAACGCATTAAAAATATAATTTAGCCCACCTCACAGGATTGATACAACTGTATTTGCGACAAATCTAATTCTAAATTGTGTGGGCAAAAGGGTGTAGCTCACTCGAATCATTAATTTTAATTTTCCTGCCTCCTCAAGGTAGAGATAAAATTATCTCTACATTCTTGGACTTATTTATGTTCCGCAAAAATACAAACCAGATCATCCTCTTGGTAATTACAGGATCTGTTTTCATAATTTTGATCCTAAGAAAAAGGTTTTGTGCATTGTTTTCATTTCCCAATTCATTTTCGTCAACAAAAATATATTTGTTTGCCTAAATTCTCAAGGAAGAGATAAAGTTTTTCTCCATCCCTGGGCTGATATCAGTCTAACAAAAACACAAACAAGATCAGCTGCTTGGACAACAGGATTGATCTTCATAATTTTGACACTCACAATGGAGTTGTTCTTTGTTGCAATTTCCCAATTCATTTTTGTCAATGAAAATATATTTGTTTGTCTAAATTCTCAAGGATAAAATTGTTCGCCAAATCTGTTTTTATTTGCATGCCAGATTTAAGAAAAATAAACTTTAGGAGAGAAGAAATATAGATGATCCCATTTTGACCAAGGAAAATGTTTCCAATCTATCTATCTATCTATCTATCTATCTATCTATCTATCTATCTATCTTCCAGCTTGCATTCCATTTTGGGCTTAACCCTTTTCTGCTCAGAATCAACATTTAACCACCTCATGGCCTCGGAATGCATAGTCTGGGTCATTGTCTTCAACTTTACTGCCAAAGGTGACTCTACCAGGAGTTTAGAATTCCCAATGGCATTGCACTCAGCATCATTGAACCACGTAAGCCCCTTCGCCATGACAAGATGGGACTGTCAGAGATATGCACATAGAAACATATGTGTATAGACACACATATGTAGTTTACACTTTCCATATTAACTGATTTTAACATTTTTATAGACATATTTTCAAATTTTTCGGAAAGGTAGTTTGTGTTGTAACGTTATTTTGTTTCGTTTACTTTTTCTTTAGTATTGGTTCAGAATAGTCAATTTTGTCATTTATTATTTAGAAAAGAAACTGTTAGCATAGAACTTTTGAAGTGTTTTGTTGCAATGGAAAGGAACAAGCAAGGTTTGAAGTTTCAACAACATGTATTGGTCAAAATTCAGTATATACATAGTTGTGTGAAAGGTGGCAAAATTTTTCATATGTGGTTCATTAGTTGCCATTGGTAAAGAAAGTAAGAGTATTGCTGCAAGTTTACTGATTTCTTGGGTTGGTTAGCCGAGGTCATATTTGGGGTCAGGAGATAGACCTGGAATGAATTTGTTATTGGTGGGGTTTGATATACCACCTTTTTCATGACTGAATTCAACACCTGTGATAGATGCTGAACTGCCTGGTAAGGTGTGCTGGTGGGTTGGTCAGTTGAGCTCACAGTGATGGATTGATTCATTGTGAGGCATGTTGGCAGGTTGCTTGCTGAGGTTATGAAATTAGCAATGAGGGAAGCCGGGAGTGGATAGTGAAAACTGATCAACAGAACTTTTGGATTCTGGTCAAATGTGGTAGCATCAAAAACAGGGTCATGGAGGGAGGCCTGAATCTGGATAGTGAAGATGTTGATGTGTTAGAAATCATGACGGTAGCGTCAGGAGATTTGCAGTGTTAAAGTGGCCTGTCAGCTGCATTCTGCAGGTGAAGAGTTGGGTGAGATTAGTGAAACTTGGGCGAGGTCACAGTTGTGATGAGAGAAGCAATCATGGCACTAATGGCAACAGTGCATATTTGTGATGACAGGTGGCTTTTTGGCCCACAACTGTGTTGGTCGTTCATGAGGGGCTTTCCTCTAAGCAAATCTGGTGGTTACCAAGGTCATCTCTTTTTTTGGCAGGAATATTCATGATTGGCTATTACATTTTATTGTGGGGATTTGTTTTGTGGACCAGATGTGATGCTCAGATCCCCAGCACAAAAAACACTTTTATTTTGTGTTTTGCTTTTTTAGCATTCACATCTAGCTGGCATGTATCAAGATATCTAATTGCAGCGAAGTATAACATAAATCATTATTAATAGGATGGGAGGTAATATATCTGAGGCTCTACAAACTTATACATTAATTATTATAAGATCTTAGAAAAGGAAAATAATACCAAGATGAAGAGCAGTAACTTTTCGAACCAAATAAATTATATTCTTAATCCCTATTTTTTCTTTAAATTCCTTAAGCTGTCTACAGCAGTGAACTATCACGAAGTCAAACTGAAACTAAAAATCACTGTTCCCAGTGGAACAATGATATTTAAAATAGGCCTGCATTTCTGACCTTCAGTTGCAACAAGAGTTGGCCTGAAGTAAAGAACGTCATGAGTGAAGGAGTAATGAACATCATAGGGGCCAGAGAAGAATGGAAGAAACTGGTGATTAATGCTCAAATTCACTCAAAATAAATGGTTGTTTATGTAAAATAAATACAAACATCCCTCCAAAACTTTCTACTTTATCAGAAAACTTTAAACAATTTTTTAAAATTTGATTTACAAAAAAGTGTGGTTAATTTTGTTATTACTTCAGTAGTCATTTTTGGAATATTCTCAAACTCTGATGATAAGTAAATTTTGGAAGATTGATGAAACTGACAATATTTCTGTTATTTAATCAAATATTGGTTACTCTCATGTATGAGTTACTTTAAACATATACTATATATATATATATATATATATATATATATATATATATATATATATATATATATGAGCTATTTTAAGTATCATTTAACAGATTTATTATGACTTATTTGAAACAACTGTTATGAAAGTTATAGATAATATCATTTTTCATTTTTATTAAATTATTAAAATTTTTGTTGGGAAGGAGATATATTGTTAAAATTTAAATGAAATTATGTTGTAACCAATTTTTAATGTTGTTCCAAAAATAATCTTTGTAATAGTTATATTTTAATGACTATATATTCAATAAAATATTTTTACAATGATTAAAAATTTAATACATTTTTTATGAAATTTTTATGTCTGCCTGAATAATAAGATATTTTGTAAAAAAATTTCTGAACACACTTTGTAATATTTGAAATAAACTCCCAAGGAAATCTTTTTTAAAATAGTTAAATCAAATGTGTAAATAAGTGATAGAAAAGCATTTTGCAGTTATTTAAAAAAAATGATGAAAAACTGAAAAATATACATTTTCATTTTCTTCTCCACATTCAGTTTTTAAATATTCCCATTGATATAGTAACAATTTTAATTTCCTACTCTGAGAAATAAAAAAGGAAGTTGTGAAAAGCCATGATCATTCATATCCTGATGGGAAAGAACACATAGAAAAAGAAGAATGGTAGAAAATATATATTTCATATTAACTGGGTAAGGAAAGTGAAGAAACATACTTGTACTTTCCTCATTGTTCTCCCATTTTTCATCTTTTCAGTTTTTCTCCCTAAAATAACAAAGGATATAGATTTTTTATTGATTGATTTCTTTTTTATGGATTATCAACCCTTTGCAAGTTATTTAAAGCAAGAAAATATTTTTAGATTGTAATAATTTCTCTGAGATTATAATGATATATGTCCTACTAATTAACCTATACTGAGAAGAGAAAAGATGGATCCATAAGGGTATTTGTGAGTAGGGGAAGATAACAATCCTGACATGAATTGGAATTTCTAATTTCAGGCCATTATTCATTACACCAACCACACATCCAAGCTTACAACATCTGGTATTCCCAAGTGGTTACCCATCTAGGTACTGATCAGGTTCAATATTGCTTAACTTCAGTGATTGCATGAGGACCAGTATTTCAACATGATATGGCTGTACATCAAATGAGATAGAGCATCGGTTGTGTAAAAGTAAGGCTAACAGTTCAAGTACTTGAACCTGGTGGGTGAGGCTCATGAAAATCATCTGATAAATAATTTAATCACACTGTTTTCATTGAACAAGCCACACTGAAGAATATCATATATAAAGTAGCTAAAAACAATTTGAATATTCCAGTATATTATGTTTCTGGCTTCTTGTTTTCATTTTTTTGGCTTTTAATGGGGTTGAAATGTAATCTTCATATTTTTAAGATTATATTACAATTACTCATTCCTATTTTTGTTTAAACCACAAATCTGGTTAAACTATTTCCTAAGTCATAAATCAATTTATAATTCTCAACCAATCAGATTCATTACTTCTAAGACATTTAAATGAGCCACCTACTGTCACTATATAACCAAAGACCACCAATATCTTGACTATTTGCCTTGGGCAAGTGTACCAGTTAAGGTCTTTTCATGACTTAAAAAAACTATGCTATTTCTCTTTGGGATCTGTGCCTTAGATATACAGAAATAAATCATATGTCACTTCACAACAAAAAAGAAAATAAACATTTTCCTTTCTCTCTTTATCACAAATTCTCTTTTCTATCAATCAGCACATTATTCTTATAACATTTTACATAATAAGTTTACTACATAGAATAATTTCACCTTTATAATCAGCTAACATAGCCAAAATGCAGATTTACTACTATTAAAATTTTACAAGTATCATGAACTGTTTGCACATTAGGGTCATAGGGGCACCACATGTACTGCAGCTGTGGCAGCAGTGTTATTTCCTGGGTAAAACAGCCTGACAGCGCCCAATCCTCTCCAGGATGGTTTGAATTCAGAGTTTTCTTTCTCCTAGATTAGTTGCCAACCTAGGCTATCGGACTAAGTCTATCCTACTATTTATCCATAGCTTGGAGTGAAGGGAGAAGACAAAACTCCTCAGATTTTGAATTCAGAGTTGTCTGTATCCTAGACCAGTTGCTACCCAAGGCTATTTACCTATAGCTTTTAGAAAAGATAGAGTCCTACCTTTCACAAGACTGTTATTATGTAAATGAATGTAGTTAACTCAAGTGAAATCCAAATTCATCTTTCTGATCCCTCAATCAGATCCACTATCCATTACTCTACTTATTTGTACATACAAACTTATATATATTTACCTATATACCAACAATTTAATACAAAGATATCTGAACTAGTATATTTCCTTTACATATCTTCTAAACCTTTGATTATTACCAAATTAATGACCTAATATTATTTATCTACTTGCAATTAACATTACTATTTCTATGCCTGATGTATACATTTAGTAATTTATTAGAATTACCTCTCCTCTCCATTGATGTATTTTCTAGACACTTATCAATAAATCTAATCTGTGAAAAACTTTTCTGCAGTTCATATTTAAATTTTTTATAAATTCAGTTTAAAATATACAGGAAAATAGCAAAATATTGGGACTTTAAAATATAGAATAAAATCAACAAAATTAGAAGCAACATTTTATTTTATTTTTTTGATATTTTTACATGAAGCATTTTCACTATTCCATAGCCAAAGGCAACATCCATTAAAGATGAACTTCAAAGGTACAGAAGTTCAAGTTTTATTTGGTTATACTGAAGAGTGAATGTTGGGAGAAAAGCAAGAAAATGCAGTAAAACTAGGCATAAAATAATAATAAAAATAAGTGATAACTTTTGTCATTATATGACTTATTATTTAGACCAGCATGCTCAACTTGGTTATCAAGAGATTTTGCCTGTTATACCTGCTGGCTTTCTTTATGTCTTAGGTCAGACTCGGTAATCTTCTCTGACCTAGTAGATTAAAGCATTGATTAAAACATCTGATTCTCTCGAAATATTAGTTCAATCTCTGGGTTTGGTAGTGCTGAAAAGTCATATACTCTATGGAAAAAAACAGAACAAGTGAAAGCAAGGTGAATAAGATTGGCAAGTATTAATTGATATGAGTTATCTCCCATAAACATGCTGTTGTGAAATCAATCCCTGTGTCTGGTAATGTTAATAAGCCATATACTCTGGTTCATAGAAAGAAATAGACTTGATGGTATCCCTGCAAGAGACCTGTAGTGATAGCAACAAATAAATCACTAAATAATTTCTAACCCTTAGTACTAGTATGAAACCAAAATAATAAATAAATAAATAAAAAGAAAAATTAAAAGTTAAATTATAAAATTACTTTAAAATATAGATAAGAATGATAATTAACAAAGTGAGATTATAAAAAAAATAACTGAATAAATATGAAAACTGCAAACATACACTGGAACAGGTGATTCACTGCCAATTGAAACAGAGATCAAATTTACTCTCTCTTGAAAAATTTTAATGCTGGATTAATTTAAATTATCCAAATTTGCCAGCAAAATAAGTTGTAGAAAAATATGCAATTTTTACATCATTCGAAAGAGAAATAAATTCTGCATAAAGCATACACAATAAAACTAGTTTATATTCTTTTATTAAAAACATATTCTGAAATTAATAAAACTTTAACCTTCAGTCTTAAACTTATTTTCACCAGTGTATATATTCTTTAAAATATATAATTTTCTTTCTGAAATGTATACAAAAGACTTTTATCATTTTTGTTTATGTTTATTGTGTTTATTTAATTTATTTACAATTTATATATATTTCTGATGATTTCTTTTAATATATATATATATATATATATATATGGATAATGATATAGATATAGGGTGTGATGAATAACTTGTCATTTAAATTACATAAAAATGAAAACAACAATGACATGTCATTTTAAGAGATATATTTGCCAAAAAATTACACAAAAAACAATTTCAAAATCTCCTGCATCTCTTCTGGACAGTCTCTTTGTTTAAGGGTGAATGCTGCCATAATCCTTGCTTTCTGTTCATCTTTGGTGTTACAGGAAGTTTTCATAGTCTCTCACTCAAATGTACCCCAAACATAATAATCAAGAGGGTTGGAGTCTAGGGAGTTAGGTGTGATGTGATCGCAGATATTGTCTGACTGTCATAACTGTGTTCTCCTACTCATTTGGCATGGTGCAGAGTCCTGTTACCAGAAATAGTGTCTTCCAGCAGCCACCCTTTTGTATCACATATGGCACATAACTGACTGACTGATTTGCTCACAATGACAGCATTCTAATCATAAAGATCACATTTCTTGTTTGAGAATCTAGAACAAAGCCACACTATCCTTGTCCTATTTCTCATATATATTTCTGTTATGTATGTTCTTCACTAGAATTCTTATTACAAATTTATTTATATGGTTCATTAAGCTGATTGTCCAATGGAGTTCATATTCATTTTCACCTGGTTTCTTTTGCAGTGCTATGAAGATAGATCTATTGAAGTCTTCTTGCCTATCACCACTGTTGATATATTTCCTTTTTTATTTCAGTAATCTTGTCAATTCCAAAAATGTATAAAACTGACAGTATTACAATCTAATTTGGTTCTACTGTTTTGTTTCTGTTCATCTTGTCCAGTGCCCAAACTTAATTTGAATTTTAATATTGCAGGTCCTTCCATGTATTGTGATTTTCTCTCCTCTCTTGGAAGAGTTGTCCAATGTATTTGCTCTACTTTTAAATTATCTCTTCTCTTTCTATTAAAATTACTTTTAACAAAAGTCAAACCAATAGCAGAAATTGAAATTCAAGTCTGGTAACATGTAGAAGGATGATGACTGTCAACAAATTCTAATTTCAAGATGATATTGATTCAAATTTCAGTATTACCAGTTAAAACATAAAAAATTCAATGTGGATTAATTTTTAATTTCCTGCATTCAAAATTGTTTTTTTTATATTTTTAAATTTCTGATCAATGAAATTAAAATAATGTCATATGCACAAATAGAAATTATTTCTTGGTTGTTTTGGATTTGCACAAAATCTCTCATTCCATTACCCTGAGTAACTTAAGACAGAAAAGGGTCAGAGGGATGTGTCAAACTTTAAGAGTTTTATATAAAATACTTAAAATTACTAGTCACCTTCTCATGATGGATTCTCATATTTTGTTTTTTTCTATAAAGCAGAAATCAATGTAATATAGTAATTATATATATATATATATATATATATATGTATATAAATAAAAAAAGAAAAGAAAGTAAGATATAAAATCCGGTGTTCTTATAGATATTTTATTTTTACAAAATAGTGCTCAATGTAAATTTAAGAGCATATATTATAAATTAATTGATTTAAAATATATACAGTTCCAACCATGTTTCAAAATAGGGTTTATATAAATCATCATATATATAAATCATCAACATCATCACCACCACCACCACTCCTATGACTGGGTGTGGTTGCAGGGTTGATTTTCAGCTGAGTACCTTACCAGTTCCTTTCATATATCTGGATTGAAAGCCAGAGATGTATTCATTCATGTGTAGCCTGACTTGGGTGAGTAGATCTGTTGAGCTAGATAGCCTGTTGATCTTACAAGAAGGTTCATCAACCCTGTAAGAAATCTTTTTAATCCTACTAGGTGTCTAGCTATCTTCCTCAACAGAAAATCATGGTGGAAGAACTGGCTTAGTTGCTGGTGTCCTGACCATGTTGAAGCTAGTACTTGGTTACCTGTTACCAGCAGCACTTGTAAAATGACTTCTTTCTTTTGTTTTTTTTTTTGGCATAAATTTGTTTAAGGTGGACCTCAACTTGCCAGGAAGTGACCCACATACTTGATTTCATGACCTTCCATTGCAGTACATATTGAATGAGACATGCTGAATACAGTTATGAATCTGTAATGGACTGCTGTTGAGTTTATTATAATTTTGTGTAGCATTTTCTGTAGCATGTCCATCATGTGTAGCCCTCCTTATTCGCTGGTTCAACTGTTTAGATCTGTTGTAATTGTCATCCATTTGTTTCACCACAGGTGGCCCTATCAGGAGTTTCAAACTCCCAACAACATCACTCTCAGAGTCATTAGACT